CCTTTCCTGATTTCCTATTTTCTTGTTTGTCATACTTCAGTGTTTCAGAACAGCAAACAAATTTAAAAATCAAACAAAAATAATACTAGTAAAGACAAAATGGAGTTTCTAAATGAAGGTCCCAAAAGGTTGATTCTGTTCATCTGAAACATCCTTATCCAAGTGACTTCTTCAGTCTCAGCTGACTGCAGGTTTCTCCAACCTTATAAACAGCACATTGCACAAGGACTGAAACCAGCCCACTGAATAAACAATGGACTGCGAGGTCAGTTTCTTGATCATTAATATGCAAATTGTCATGACCATTGATTAGTTGCCTTGAGTACCAATCCCAGACTTTGGGAATGTCTACAATCACAGCATTGTTAGATGGCGAAAGATGTACCCTTATACCCCCTCCTCGATTCAGAGATGATCTTTGCCTTTTCACGTAAATGCCCTCCTCGACTCCCCATTCAAACCAGCGTTCCTTCCTAAATGCCCTGTTTGAGGATTTGAAACATTAAAATGTGACAAACATATAAGAAAACAAAAAAGAAAATCAGGTAGGGGACAAATACGGTTTCACACTACTGTAGTTTTAAACACTACACAAAAATTACTCTACAATCTAAAACTAAGGACATTTTCTGTATATCAGTATTTTATTTTTGTCCTTATTATATTTTATTTATGATGTTTTACATAGTCTTAGATTAGCCTCTTGTTTTTGTGACAATTACTTATTATTTGACATGAAAACATTGTTTATTTAAGTTGGAGTCTTTTTGTGGTTAAACATGGTGTTTTACTGCATTGATGAACAGTTGAGGGAGCTAAAAATATTTGGACAAATGTGCCAAGCCAGTTAAGAAAAACTAATCATCTCTTGACCCTTAAGATTTATCTTGTAAACCTTTCAGACAGGAATGGCCTCTCACTTTAGAGTAAGTAGGCTTTTCACTTCATCACGAGTTCTTCTGTCGTCTATCAGAGAAGCAGCCTTTTTACCACAGGGCTAATCAGTTAATGATAACTATGTCCATCCTCTGACGCTTATCTTTATCAAGGGTTTCAGAAACCTATAGCAGCTACCATTGGGCGAGAGGCCAGTCTAAGGCAGATGATGACTACATCATCAACAAAATAAACTCCAGTTTACTTGTTGTGTAAAGCAACTCCAAAGATGACACAACAACTGTCATTTCAAATAATTTTTAAATCTTTCCTTCAAAAATTATAATAACTGAGATACTCTTTGCACAATTTCATCACACAATGTTGCTGGAAACCTATTTTTAACATTTCTTCAAATCAACATAAATTAACAGAATTATCCAACTAATGATATTTGAGGAGGATCCATGGGAGTTTGCCCAACCAGTCTACATGTGTTTTGTGGACCTGGAGAAGGCATTCGACTATGTCCCTCAGAGTGTCCTGTGGGAGGTGCTTCGGGAGTATGGGGTGTCTGGCCCATTGCTACGGGCCATTCAATCTTTATACTGTAGAACTGTTGCAAGAGCTTGGTGCACATAGCCAGGAATAAGTCAGACTTGTTTCCGGTGGATGAGGGACTCCACGAGGGCTGCCCTTTGTCACCGATTCTGTTCGGAATTTTTATGGACAGAATTTCTAGTCGTAGCCAAGTGATGGAAGACTTTCACTTGGATGGTCTCAGCACCTCATCTCTGCTTTTCGCAGATGATGTGGTTCTGTTGGCTTCATCAAGTGATGGCCTCCAGCTCACACTGGAACAGTTTGCAGCTGACTGTGAAGTGGTGGGAATAAGAAGCAGCACCTCCAAATCTGAGGCCATGGTCCTCAGCTGGAAAAGGGTGGAGTGCCCACTCCAGATCAGGGACAAGTTCTTGGCCCAAGTGGAGGAATTTAAGTATCTTGTTTGCGAGTGATGGGAGAGGGGAGCGGGAGACTGACAGACGGATTGGTGCTGCGGCTGCAGTGATGCAGAAGCTGTACCAATCCATCTTGGTGAAGAGAGAGCTGAGTGTATTGGAGTTAGTCTTTCTCCTCTGCTTCCTTAAAGAAAGAGAAACGGTCTTTTAAAAGATTAAATTCATTTCAGCACTTGAAGTTTCAGCATGCTAGACCTCAATGTGAACCAGAGGTCTGCTTCACAAAAATGATGAGCCTGTAAGCAGGTATTACAATTTTATACCACAACAAAAACAAGTGTTATATGATTTCTGGAACACGTTCTTCTCTGTCTCCCTGGTTTCTCCCTGACATCAGTATTTTTTCGAAACATGAGAGCTGCTGCCTTGCGTTAATTTAGCTGCCCACGCCCCCACCTCTGTCTCCCGAGTGGATCTTCTCCCCCACTGTATCCACATCTGACCTTGTCTGCATCTGCTCCTTTTCCTAGAAACAGAATAGAGAAAGAAAAACACCTCGCTCTCTAGCCTTGCTGTATTAATATTAGCTGGCAATTCGCTGCCTATTGATTCTTATTATTATCTAAGTCCGGACATTCTGTTCAGACTCGCTTGGCCCAGAATTTTTGCATGTTTGCAAATCCCTCTACAGCTCATTATGTCAGTCTCAATAATTCAATTCAAGCTTAGCACTGAATTGATGCTTTTGACCCTGTAGAATATTTAGCTGATTTAGAGTTTAGAAATGTGTTATCATAGAATGTAGAACTGTTGTAGAGACACTGACACTGCCCTCAATATATAAAGGCTGATTGTGTCGTGAATTTAGGAGTAGATTGTACCCCTCCCCCACTTGAGCTGTGAAGTAAAACAGAGAAGAGTTAATGCTGAGTGGAAATTCCCCAGAGGATGTATGGGGGGGGGTTTTATGACTTCTAGGGAGTTACCTACACCCACAGTGTTTTAACTGTCACGCACAGTCACTCATGTGCACACAGTCACACACGAGCACTCACATAGACACTAGGGAACGCGCACAAGTAGCATTCATGTGCTCGTGCACATAGACACAGACAGAGTTTGCAGCACACTGTGGGGGTTTTATGATGGGGTCCTTCTATAAAGCTGGTCTTCAACAACAAAGGGTGAAGATTTTGGAGAGGGACACCGGCCTCGTCTTCCCTTCTAGAAGTGCATGCTTAAATGAAGATGAATAAAGATTTTGTGAAAATGACTACTGAGTCCGGTGCCATCTCTGGATGCTCGAGGAATAAAAAGAACTGGGGTAAAACTGATTTCCCAACAACCCTCATTACACAGAGTGCCAACTAATTAATGAGCAGAATTGCAATGTGTATATAACAATCACCATGACAACTTTATTTAATAATTTTATTCCTAAGTGTAAAAGCGAAGTTCTCAATTTCTCTCAAACGGTCGATCCATGTCGCTACCCTCACCTACGGTCACAAGCTGTGGCTTATGACTGAAGAACAAGACTGTGGATACCAGAGGCGGAAATAAGCTTCCTCCGAAGGGTGGCTGGCCTCTCCCTTCCAGGAGGGGCTCAGAGTGGAGCCGCTGCTCCTTCACCTCGAAAGGAGCCAGATGATGTGGTTCGGGCATCTTACAAGGATGTGTGCAAGTCTGGGTGAGGTGTGTTCTGGGCATGTCCCACCAGGAGGAGGCCCCGGGACAGATCCAGGACACGCTGGAGAGATTGTATCTCTTGGCTAGCCTGGGTACGCCTTGGTCTTACCACAGACAAGCTGGAGGAGGTGGCTGGGGAGAGGGAGGTCTGGTCTTCTCTGCTTGGGCTGCTGACCCCACGACCCGGCCCCGCATAAGTGAAAAAAAGATGGACGGACGGACGGATGGATGGATGATGCAGAAGGCAGCTAGATGATTCCTGACAGTGCATCACAGAATATCTTTGTGGAAGTGAAAACTGACTCAAAGCCTTCTTCTTGAAAGATGTTAGGTGTAAATGCATATATGTGGATGGTCGGCTGGTGTCTTTACCAAACTCATATGAGAGGTATTCTAGTTCCAGCACAGCTATGTCACTGTCTGTCATGGCAAATGGCTGTTTTAACTACAGGAAACTAAAAACCTTTATTTATGTTGACGACAGTAGAAAAAATGAAAAACAAAATTTCTTGCACAATCTTAGAAAAATTACGGATATTTAACTTTTTTAAAGCAGTTTGGAGCCATTTTGTTCAAATGTGTGCGAGATCTGTGGCTTACGTTTTCTTTTGGTGTGACAGTGTGGAGATAATGTAGTCAGCACAATGTAGGATTATATCACTCATTACTATTACGTATTTTTTGCATATAGAGGAGACACGTACTGTAGATTATGCAATTATTTGTAAACAGCCACAAGCTTGCCTTTTTTTAACTTTGTATTCACCATGTATTTATAATATATAGCAGTTGTGCCTCTTTTCGAAATGAAATTCATGTTATTGTGACATAAAAACATTTTTTGCATGCAGGCTAAAAATCCAGGCCAACTAGATGAATATGGTTTAGCTGCATCCTGACACAGATTACTATTACAGAGAAAATGGATCACAAAGCTTCATATTACCACATTTTATTGTGTAATGAATGATGAGACTTATTCTGTTTAATGTTGGAATGTGTGCAAGTCTGTTGAATATAATACAAATTGATTTGCTCAAGAATGTTTGTATCCTGCAACATAAAAATTATTATAATTAAAGTCTTATTGCTGTAAATATGCCTGGAAAAATCTGTTTGGTCTCCTTCTTCACTCTGGATTTGTGGTGGTATTCAGAGTAGATTAAAATATAGTCAATTTCATCAAAAAAAAAAAGGATGTGTAAATACAGTAAATTATTTTTAGAGATTTTTGAAAAATAAACATGACCACTGTTCATATGTGGCTTTATTACCTTATCATGGGCCAGAATTAAATATCTAAGTAGGATCCTTGTTTGAAACCATGCTGAACGTATTTACTGGGTCATGAAACATCGGTAAAGCAAACAACAGAAAAGAAGCTCATGTCAAAAACTTATGGCTAAGTTATAGTTAGCTTAGTTTAGCTAGGTTATAATTTAACTGTATTATGAATTAAATTCCATGAAAATTTAAATAATTTCAGATTTTATTCTGGACATTGAAGAAAAAAGACAATCTGACATTTTAAATGAAATAAATCATCGTTTAAAAGACACACACAGCAATGTGGGAGAAAAACATCAATGCTGAATGCTACAAGTGCACAAATATGAAGTCAGCGTGGTGCTGCAGTGAACGCATCAGTTCACACAATATTTCAGAAATACTATTTCATTAAAATGTCTTATATTGTTTCTTGGTCTTGTAAATTTATTTTTCTTCAGTCATTTCTGAAACAAAGTCCACACTGAATGCCGGCTGTGCATCTGTGGTCGTGTGAAGCTACATTAATGTAACAGCATGCCAGAGTGTAAACACAGATATTTATCTTTTTTCCGTTTCATTAGGCATTTAAACCAAATACTAAAACACCCTGATACGACTCAGAGTCAGACTCAGAGTACTATACATTTTATAGTACACTCAGCATAAAGAACAAAACAATGCACGAACTGGTAATTAAAGCCCTTGAAGGAATAAATCATATACATTAAAATATTGTATTTTCAGAACAACTACATTATGTGACTGTCTGTGTGCAACTTACAGCTATAAGCACTTGATATTAAATATATGCATGCTAAAACATGACAGACAACAAAGGCAGAGTACTCAGGCACAGAAATGTTTTTACGTGTTTTCAATTGAGCTTCTTGTGGCTTACATTTAACTACAGCTACTTATTCTTTTCTTCATCATAACAATCAGCTGTTTTTGTGTGTGAATACATTCATGTGAATTTCCAAAGCTAACTGAAGGACAATCATGTGGTTAGCAGCGCTGACTAAAGTTCAGTGGTACAAGGTTTGTATTAAAATACTAAATATTCAAGTTCACAGGTCGGGGCATGTTGTGTCATGAATTAGCCCAGCGAGTGTTGCTTCTTCAGGTTCTCTGTGCGCTTCACCCTCTCCTCTGGGGTCTTTCTGTACCAGCTCCTAAGAGAAAAAAGTCACTGTGGTGACTTTAAATACGTCAAAAGCAGGGTGTGTCTGAAGACTGCTGTTTTCATGAATATGCGATTCAGGCAATTGGTGTTTTATAAAAAGTGTTTTACAATCTGTACCAGTACAGACTCACCCCTGACGGTTAAGCTGTCCTGGGACAGAGGCATTTTGTCCTTGGCTTGGCTTCAAGACTCTAGGAAAGGAATAATGAATTTATCTAAACAACGTCTGGGGACAAAAATCTAGAAATTACATCGAGGGAAACACAAAATGAATTAAAAAGTAATAAAATCCCACAGCTGTGTCTCACACCTGTTGGTAATGGGGCTTTTTGGCTTCTGCTGCATCTTCCTAGTCTGTGCTGGAGATTCACCAACCCTAAAGAAGCACCACATACTGTACACCACTGATCACTGGATCTCAACAGCATGAACGTAAAACACGTGTTTTCATTTCTTGTCTTACTTCTTTTTCCTGTCCAGAGACCTCTGTGTGGCAGCAGAAAGAGCCACTCTCTCTTTGGGGCACTTGGCTTTCTCCTGTTGGAGTGAATGTAGTTTATAGTTTATTAAAAAAAACCAACTCAGAATACTGAAAAAGTCAAAGACAGTCACAAACCAATTTCTTACAATTGCTTTTGTGAGAAGGTGCTATATTACAAACAATGCATTAATAACAACAAGATAAGCCACGAGTGTCTGGACGAACCTTTCCAGACACAGAATGCATGGCTTCATAAAACTTTCTCCAGTGTTTGAACAAACTAAAGCTTAGTTTATAGGCTCTAGAAGGACAGAGGGATATTTTCAGTGACAATAACGATCACCTTCTCTTGATTAAATCTGGATACTTGATTATTTACTTGACTGTGTTCATGTTACCATGTCTCGTAGCTTCCTCTCCACACGGAGCTCTCTGTCCTGCTGCAGTAATGCTAAGCGATCCTCCAAAGGCATTTCAAAGAAGATGTCATGGATGTCATACAGGGCTGCACGTAACTGAGGGAACAACAAACAAGGAGAAACATGAATAAAGATGGCCCTCTGCTGGCTATAGAGGTTTAGTACACAGTCATACCTGGGCTCTAACTCTCTCCTGCAGGGCGAGATCTTGTGCTGTGTAGGCGCTTCTCTTCTGTAGAGCTTCAGTTTGAAATGAACGGATGAACTCCTGCGTATCCTTAAGGCACACATATAAATACAGAGAGAGAGTGCACAGTTAGACACACTCAGTCACTAACGTCATAATCTAAAATGAAACTTTCTTACACTCCTGTAACTCTTTTATTGTGTATGAAGGCATGAAATGGAACTCACCATAATGGTTTGGCGGAGGTGTTTGACTTTCTCCGTTTTAAGCAGTCTGCGTGTGAGGAAGCCGCGAGTGATAGCACCAATTCTGCAAAATGCTTTCTGCTGATCAGCTGTCAGAACCTGGGAGAAAGTAATGAAGAACATGGAGAAAATGTGAGATATTAAGATAAATGATATCAGTCTTCACATACATACACGTTTTCTGAATTAATGGACAAAAAATAGACTCAATTACAATAAAAGGTTGCTGCAAGACTGCATACCAAGAAGACTTTTAGCTTCTATTTGGTCTTTGCTTTGAAGATTTACAACAGTTCACAGCGTTATGGATGTAACAGAGTAAAAGAAACAATGGTACTTACAATATAAATCAAATTTATATACACTCATTATATACACTTTACAGTATATATACTACATGTATTTAAATGTTTAATGAGCTCAGCCAGTGTGCTGAAGTTTGGATTTGGCTGCCAATGCTATTCCTGTTTTGCAGTGTTTACACACCAGACTTTGCCTCGCCCGAGGTTTGCTAGCCCCCCACGTGGAACCCCACAGATAAAGAGGAGGCTGAAGACATGGAGAGGATGCACTAGAAGGGACAGGACTGGGCAAACCTGGAGAAAGAAACAGTAGATATTTTAAAGACGCAGCTGAAACGAGCAGCATATCCCATCAACAAACACTAGCATTTTGTTTTTTTTCTGATATTATAGGACACAGAATTTAGAAGGCAAATAACAGACAATAACAATGACCGAAAACATTAAAAAGTAATCACTGTTGTTCTTCAGCGAGTAGTCAGTGTATCTGATCTGTTTCTCTACTCCCTGACTTCACCTCTAAGCTATATTTGTGCTGATGTGTGAAATGCTGTTTGTATGAAAAACAAAAGCTCTAACGACAAAATGCACTTCCAGTTTAGTGAGGAAAACACCATCCTTATATTAATAAAAACAATTATGTCTCTTACTGTCTTGTATATAATTAAGGGACAGTTCTGGTTCATTTAAAAGGTCATTTCACCACCCTTTTTCTGGTAGCCTATGGTAGTAACTGTTAGGTTGAGGGACACATGACGCTGTAAACAATTCAGCCAGAAACTTGGCCTGATCACTTCCAATGATGTTAACCTATAATTTTCTTCCGACCGCTGCGTGTGGAAAATTGATCCAGGTCTGCTTTTCACCTAAAAGTGACAAAACTAAGACATTTTCATTATTCTCATTACTGCCTTTTTCTTTTTTTTCCCCACAACGATAGCTGGTGACCTGCAGAATCACCTCTCATAGTTGGAGACAATTACTTTTACACAGCGCACTCACACACAGCGACGTCAGGCACATTCACACTCACTTTTTTCCTCTGCATAAATAACTCACATGGCCAATGGTATGCGCCATGGTGATCCATAAGTATGATCACAAGTTTATTTAGTTATTTTTCAACCCAATAAAACAAATAAGCAAAAACATGATGCTGATGCTATGAACGCTCTACACACATGAATCTAGATGCAAAAAAACTGCTGTGCATCTGAGGTGTGAGGAAGAAACTGAACTCTCAGATAGCTGCATGCTCGAGTTATCATAGCTCTGTTTGCCTCCCTCTGATGCGTTCTCAGTCAGCTCCTGCTCTGATCATGTGTAGCCTGCTCATCAGCTCAGAAGTGACCGCAACGCAACCTCACACAGTGGTTGCGTGCTTTGCTGCACACAGTGGCAAACACTTGCACAGTGACTTTCATATTTAATTCAGCTTCTCCATCTTGTAATTTTAGCTGTTGCATACAGGGTTCAGCATATTAGTTGTTTGTATAGATGTGCTCTATATCTCAACAATGGCTCATATTAGGATGACAGTTTTTCAAACATGTCAAGTGCCTCTATGCACTTCATCAGTTTAAATATTCTCCTAATTTACTTCATCTCATATGTCATTGTACTGAATTTGAGCTAACCTTAGCTTAATGCAGTTAACTTTTAACAATTATAATCTAAACATTTTGTTTCAGCAAGGGGTGGGTGAAAATGAACCATGACATTCATGTGTCTTTTGTGAACACTTTTTACAATCCTGAGCACAGAAGTTTATTAAAACGATACCTATACTGTGTCCAGGTGATCGTTCTGATGGTGTGTGGACAGGACTTAGTCCCGGGCACGAGGGGCTCATGATAGGATGGCAGTCGTTCACAGACCTACGATTCCAGCCACAAGCATCTGCACTTAGAGGACGTACAGAACCCTGCTCCTTCAGCCTTCTCTCTGTCTCCTCAAGCTCCTAAACACACCGCACACAACATTATTTGTATTTCACTAATGCTCTGCTCATAATCTTTTTAAAAAGGCATATAAAACTCAGATGTACAAGCACACACACACACACACACACACACACA